ATTCAAGAATTGAATCCCGGTGGAAATGAAAACTGATTGATTAATTGATTGATATGTAGAGTTTAACGTCCCAAAAAACACCATATGAGTACGAGAGACGCCGTAGTGGACGGCTCCGGAAGTTTCGACCACCTGAGGTTCTTTAACGTACGCCCAAATCTGAACACACGGGCCTACAGCATTTTCGCCTCCATCGAAAATGCAGTCACCGCAGCCTGGATTCGATCCCGCGACCTGCGGATCAGCAGCCGAGTACCTCAGCCACTAGACCACCACGGCGGGGCGGCTGAAATGAAAAGACGCGTAATTTATCTATATACGCGCAAAAGCAGCGCAACAGTAAACACGTTTTATGTATCGTCGCAGATTGAAGCATCCTCTCCGCAATTTCAGTAGGATCGACATCCTTAAATTGCGTTTCAAAGCCACAAAGAAAGCGGCGTGGCGCGTAGCATATATAGAGAAAAACGATTGATGTTGCACTCTGGAGTCATACCGCTGGTGTATGTATATAGTGTAATGCTTTCGTGCGTATCATAATTTATGCTGAAAATTATCATTTCTAGCACTAACGGCGATTCACTAATTAGGTATAGCTTAATTATGACGTACTAATCATGCCACAAGTTATTCAATACTTAATTATGCTGCTCTAATTATACGGCTAACTAACACTGATTACTAGAGAACGTATAGTATTTATTCCCAGCTTAGTTCTGTACTTATAGCGAAGTGAAACGAGTTGACGCTGATGGGCGGTGCTAACTTCGCCACAAGACTACTACTATAAGTGGCCGCGACAAGTGATTGTTAATTGCCGTTTTCAAAGAAAACGAGCCCCTAAATTCTCTTTTCCTTCCACATTCTTTTCATCCGCTTCAATCATAGCGACGATTTCGTTAGCTGGCAGACTTGACGTCTTGAAAAGTATGCGAGTAATTGGTCTGCTGCCACCTCGTCAAAACATCGCGCGCCATATACGTGGCAAAAAAAAAAAAAAAAGGAGAGTTCAACACTCGCCGTAATGGCTAGGAGCGGCGCTGACTAACCATCCCGAGTCTAAAATGTACAAATGTATACCCGATAAAGTGGACGGGATGATGACTTCCATCGTATAACTCTAGTGGAAGAGCATCGGACGCGTAGTGCGAACGTTGAAGGTTCGGCACTTGCTGCATGGTGGCAAGTTGATTTTTCGTCCCCTTTAATTTCTTTTCGTATATGCCATAAAGTACCCAAAAATAGAGAGCTTTAGTATTGCGTACGCTGCGTACGTGGCGGCGTTGCGTACGTAAGGACGCCACGTTCTGCGTAGTGCGCATGCGCAGACCGCAACGCGCACGTATCGCGTTACGTACGCAGCTGCTACGTACGCACCCATGAGGTGCGTGCGTGCGTACGTCTGAGGTGATCGCGCCGCTCTCGAACAAGTTCGCGACAGCGCGAGACTTTGTTTTGCAAAATGGCGGCATCGAAGGCAAGCACCGACGGGCTCTGTGGCTCAAAATATGGCCATAATCTGGCTATAACACTTGGATTGGCTCACATTGGCTGTCAACAACACGTGCTTCTATTTTGATCTACCAGATGACGCAACACGCTTCACGTTCGTTACGTACGCGGGTATACTACGGTGTACTAAAAGCCGATTTGTGGCAAACGACGCCACGGAACGCAAGGCGCTTGCGTGATGCGTACGTATACCACCACTCCGCAGTACCAAAACTCGCTAATAACATGTCCTCTAATTTGATTGGCATGATTGTCCATCATTAGTTGCGCCTAACAAAGAAAAAAAAACGTACCCCAAAAGGTAGTTCCGTATGCATATCGCCGCGACAGATTTCGCGATGGTAGAATAAAACAAACACAACCACGCGTGCAGCACGCGTTACACGCGTTCGCATACACGAGATACGCGGGGCAACAGCGTCGAGAGGTCGGCGTTGCGACCTCGGTAGCGTGCCGCAACACTGGATACCGTTAGATGGGTAAAGAAGGAAAGAGGAGGGCGGGGATGCTTATGCATGCGTTCGCGCGCTGTCTTATGAATTATGTAAACGACTCCTCGCCAGCGCGCTTATTCTCCCTTCCTATATAGAGCCCTGGATCATGAACCCTCTTACAGCTAGCTGCCAGCCCGTTTCTTTCTGTTGTTCATCGATTACGTATAGGCATGCACGCTCAGCAAGAGGGAAAAAAGCGATGCATCGAGGGAAGAGCGCTATCATTACATGCACACGCCGCTCGCCGTTACACTGTCCGCGCAGTTCTTATAGGGTAAGCGGGCGAGCGTGCCGTCGGTGTAGCACGAGCTCAGATACGCGCACACAAACGCACGGTCGTCCAAGCATTATAGCCGTAAATGTGACGCAGCAAAGGCGAGCGAATGCGTCGAGTATACGGCAGCCCGCCAACGCATTGTGATGCATACTTCTAAAAAAAAAAGGGGGGGGGGGACCCTTGAGCTTCGTCTTTAAGGAGGCCCTGCAACACTTTTTGTGCAAGGTCATAAAATACTGCATGCATATCGGAAGTCGAAGCTCCCGAGAACACGCGAGCGCAAATATTAGCGCCAGAACGTGGAATGGAAGTTACAACTAATTCTCAGAGTCGGCTGCGAATTGCCTTCCCTTTACTCGATAAATGACGTTACGGGTTCAAAATTACTTCGTCCCAGGCCTACTATCAGCCGCTGGCTGATAAGAGCACGGCGCGCTAGTTCGTTACCGGAGCCACCGCGGAAGGCCACGACTTGAAAGCCGCACGATAAAAAAAAAAGCAGCTAAAGTGCTCAAGGTCACGAGGCGAGCGTGACGTCTTTTCTTCCCCCGTGCTGCCTGCTTAAATTACTGCGTTCATTTCCAGAACTTGTGTCGGGACGAGCCTGAGAAGGGAGAATTGCAGCGTATACGTGAGCGAAGTCTTTGTAGCTCCGCTAGTACTGGACGGATTCTAAAAAGAAACAAAAATCGCAGCGGTGTATTCGTGAGGCAATGTGTTCCTTTAGTGAATCCACGCCATGGCTACTTGTAACAGTGTTGCAGGGCCTCCTTTTATAGCATTCAATGTCATACGCAACAGGCCGCACTTTGTTTTCTATCGAGCCGCCGTGGTAATGAGCATCTCCCGGGCAACAGGACCTTAAGCAATAGGAACCAGCGACACTCCTACGCCACTACTGTGCACTCCTACGCCACTACTGAAGCAAGAATCGAATGACAGTAGGCGGAAAGAAGGAAACTCGAGATGTGACGTCAAAAGTGGCAAGCATTGGCCACTACACAAACGTACGCCTCGATGTATAGCATAACGCCTAGCAACGTCGTTGGCACTGCAGCTGACGAACGCCTCCCGCCTCTCCCCTTTCCACACACACACGTACAGAGAGGGAGAGTCTCAGAGAGATGACACAAGAGCACAAGCATGCACGCACGTCGGCATGCGCACACACACATGATACGAAATTGTAAGCATGAACATGCACACACGCACGCGCGACACGAAAGCAGTAAGCATGCACATACACACGTACGCATTGACAAGTATAACGTAGCGACGCGGTTGGCACGGCAAGCACGCACGCACGCATAACACACACACACACACACACACACACACACACACACACACACACACACACACACACTGATCGCACACGCCCACGCGCACTGGCGACGTGTCAGCGGTGGCCACCCAATGACAAGTGATGCACGTGAAACGAGACCAAGACGAGGCGTAACCCCGACGGGCGCGCGCGTGAAGGACGACAAACGCGGGAGTCAGCGCCCGCCCCCTCGACTGCGGCTCGCACCCGAACAAGAGATAGGTGTGGCACCCAGCCACCCTCGGGGCCCCCACCGCCGTTGTGAGCGCGGCGTGGCCCCCTCGTCGAACGAACTGGAAGGGTGAGAAGGAAGAAGTCACGTTTGACGACGACCCAAAAGGCTCGAAAGCAGACAGTTCAAAAAAAGAAGAAGAAAGAAAGAACCATGGCTTACACGGTTTATGAGAGGCGTCGAAAGAAGTCTTTCTTTGTTATTCACTCACTCTATCTCTTTTTTCCTTCTCCTTTCCCTCACCAAATCCTGAGGCGTGAGAACCAGCAGCGGCGGCGCGAGTGCGGTTCATTGCTTGCCCGTAAGCATTAGAGCTACAGACATAACGTTTAAAGTAATGCTGTAGGGACAATTAGTTAACTACCAAGGAACATAATAACTGATCGAGTAACTGAAGCAAGACTATTTAGTAATCATAGGCATGCACAAGTGGGGCCACCGTCCACCCCCTCCCCCTGATCCGTCTGCCCCCCTCCGAGCCAACAAGCCAACCATTTCACTCGTTACAGGAAAATTCATTTTCGAACGAAACAGTCCCCAAAGCAGCTGCAATATGCAGTGGCAGAATGAAAAATACAAATACAGTAGTAGACCATGCAGACTGCATGTATCTGTGAACAAGTTGAGATGCTTACGGTCGTTAATAACAGCCAAGACAGATGCCCATTATGCAGCGGTGCCCATTATGCACGCACGCTGCCGAAACAACGAGTTAACCTGCCTTATTTTCACTAGAAACCTTGGAGTACCAAATCCGCAATGCTAAAGCAGTACTCAATTAGTGCTCCGATTTCCTCAACACTCCACTGTTTGTGAGAGTAACCCCACTGAATTTCAACCTGTATTATTAGACTAACGAAGAAAGCACTCACTGCAGGCTACAAGCATTCTCATCCCTTGGATATCACAATCACTCAATGTCAATGTCCTTAATAAAAAAAATTGCGTAACACTTATGTAACCATCCTTCTGTGATGCAACAACTGCGAAGTTGCTCCTTCTGTACAGGATGCACCTTACACAATTTTACGAATCTCACTAGGAAAGAGTAACAAACAATTTAAACTCAAGTCAAGCACACTCAGCCTGTTCAGGCCAAACAGAGCTGGCAAACGAACGCTCGTCCATGTGTACTTCCACTTAAAATGAAGACAGACTTACCTTGCAAGAAAGCAGCAACCAGATCCACGATGGTGCCAGTCCTCAAACGCAATAACGACGTCGGCGACTTTGCAAGCGTATCCACAGGCGGGCTTCACTGTCACGTTCAGTTGCAAACTCAATCCTCGAACCTCTTAGCACGCAAGTTAGTTCACTTCAGAGATACTAGTTGAACTAGTTGACTTCAGAAATGCGTCGAAGACGTCGAAAGCCGCAGAGAGGAGGATAATGCTACTTAGACCATCCACAGTGTCCAAATAAACCGGCACTTCACTTGAAGCCTGCCACCCAATCTCAAAGGTTATAAGATAACCATAGCCAGTGTAGGGATGGGACGGCGTGCACCAAAAGACTTAAAAGCATATGACAGAGGAAAGGAACAGGAGCGGGAAAATGTTCAATGAAAGAGAAATCATTTACAAAAGCAAAAAGAACTAGGGAAAGACAGAAATCATCATGCAACTAAGGAATCCCTGCTAAAGGAAAGTGCGAGACTGTCAGGACAGAGCTGCAAGCCCGCCTGCAGCTGCTCAGAAAATACATCCCAGTTAGGGACGGGCTCGAACACTTAGCAGGAAAGAGAGAAAAAGGGAGAAGTGGGAGCTAAGCTAGGGAGTGGGAAAAGAATAAATGGCACCAAAAAACTAAACGACAAGGATCACGGAAAGAACAACACAGGGATGGGAGGGAATGAGGTTGGGCAACACACACCAGACATGAGAAAGCCCTCTACATACAAGCGTGCATAAAATTAACTCCCGCGCCGCAGGGCACCGGGCCACCACCTCCATTATCCGAAGTGGCTGCGTAGCACTTGTTAGGCGGGAGTAGCGAACGGGATCCACTACACACAAGCCCTTTCCTACCTTGCTGACCCTTTTTGTTTAGCATTGACTTGTATACCAGGCATGGCTGACATTATGGCAATATCAAAGTTTCACTCGCTCCACTTCAAAGAACGACCACTGCTTGTTTAATGATGTCGAGTGCACCCTCGGCGTACCTTGTCGTGTTTCTAATGTATGCGAAATCAGTAACGGGGAAGAGATTGAAAGGGTTGGGTAAGTTCAACTGCAACACATGTAACGTCAAGTGCCTCGTAGCAAAAAGTAATTTTGTTGAAGAAAGATGGCAGGAGTCCTAAAATTTTCCAAACTGCATTAAGTAACCCACAAAGAGCAAATATCAGAGGAGGGGGCAAGAGGATTAGGGAAATTGGGAAAAGTCATACAAGAAAGACTGCAGGCAATGTAAGGAACGAGCAACTCCATGCACACACATACACAGAAAAAAAAAGGGTTCGTTAAAGGAGAGACATACTGGTACCAGTAGGTGAAAGAATCACCGGATAAATCTGGAACAAAAAGGAAAAGTGATAGGATACATGGAAGTTGGGGAAAGGTCAGTCAGGTCTGAATGAAAAGGAGAAAGCTGAACTAATGGAGAATGAGAAAGGAAATGCACAAAGGGCAGGGAAATGTTAGAAAGGGTAAGGGACAACATCGATGGGAAGAGGGGATGTAGGGAAAAACAAACGTACAAACAGAATGAAGCAAGGAGAAAGGTCGCATGGGAGGGGTCGGTCCAGTCTGGGGAAAAAAGGTCAGCACGCACTCTGGTCGGGAGAGAGCGGGAAATAGGACAGAGTGGTGGTGGGGCACACCCGTGAAACTGGCCAATTTATACAGCCAATCCCCCGCCCACCTGCTGCGGCTCGTCCTTCCACACCCGAATTCTTCCCTTCTATTATACCAGTGAGGAGTAGAGCATGTAAGGGGTGAAAGCAAACAGTTGGCATAAAAAGGAGACGGTGTACAGGCACAAAAGAATAGGGGAAGCAGTTTAGCGTAAGTCTCGTGCTCAGTGTTGCTTCTTCTTTTCTGCCATTGTAGATGTCCAGCTGCTCAAGATCCGAGACAAAAAAGGTCGTAGAGCATGTGTGTTGGTAGTCCAATTACATGTGTGCACTTGTCTCTATGACCGGCCTGATCTTAGGGCCATTTTTCAACTGTATTTCCGCCTTCTATAAACTTGAGATGGGAGCACTGCCTGGCCGGGGAGGTGTTCTTAAACATGGAGCTCAGACACAAATGAATCTTAGCAATAATTAGTTACTGCTAACAGATTGATCTTAAAAACATGAAGTGCACCATGTTATATAAAACACTGTTTGGCTTTTGATATTCTGAGAGAGCCTCACTGAAATTTCTAAAATTTTGTTCCTGAAGACAGTAAACAGTGGAGAACTTTTGTCCAGCACGGGTATGGGTTACTTAGTTCTCGAAGTCAGAACTAAGAGACAGACAGAGCCAGATGACTTTCAATAAAGTTGTAATTTCTATACTGAGATCGAAGTCAAGAGGTGTTCGGATTTTCGCAGGTCAAAAGACCTCCTCCTTCCTGCCAGTGGTCGTATCCGTGTCATCGTGACGTCACGGCCCACCACCTTTACACCGTTCTCACCAGAGGAGTCACAAAGAAGCATGTCAAAGCATGTGACAAAGCGGCCATGAGAGCACTGGCTGGAAGAGGGTACTGTGGTGGCGAAAAGCTACACTGCTTTGCCTTGTAACCGAATATAGTGACCTCCTGTTTCGGTTATGTGCTGATAGCTAGGGTTTAAGCAATTCTGAATATGATACGAAATGAAGTACTGTTCGTCTCCAATAACCCGAGCTTCTTAACGCATCTGGTGGTGCGAATTCAGTCACTCTAAATAGCAGTACAATTGTATTCTAACAACATGCTCTAACTTCAAGCGTAGTTGGAAAAAAACAAGGCCAAGTTTCACTGCAAACGTCAGGAGTTCCAACCACCCGCAATCGAACAGTAGTCCCTAAAAGGATATAGCGTACACTACATCCAGCCTGATGAGTTACAAAGAAAGTCAATAAACGTCCAGATATCAACTCAGCTGAGATTCACATGGCGGACCAAGAGCTCTCGTGGCATGAAACAATTGAAAATTTGATGCAATAACAGCTCACGCAAAAACTCACTGCATGCAAGCAATGTGCACAAGCGCAGAGTGCAGGAAATAGCCAAAAATAAATAATAGCGTATGGCAGCTGACTTGCCTACGGGGTCTGTTTCCAGGTGCCACCAGGCCCCATGGGGGTGGGACTTCATTGGGGAGTGTCGCGGCGGGGCCCAACTCCCAGGGCCCGAGGCCTCCTGTGCGGGACGCGGGGCCACCTGAGGAGAAGAAGGAAAGTCTATGAACAATAAGTTGGGAGCCCATACCCTATGACGAAAATCGCTGCAAGTTGGTGTGCGCGTGCCTGGCCGGCTATTTTTTTTTTCTTTCATTCAATCACATTATGCAATACGCCTTCTTAACACTCTGCTTTCTCCAAGATGGATTCGTATCTTTATCCAGGTCCTTAGCAGCAATTTAGTTACTGTAGGCAACAACGATCGGTCATGCATGAAACAATGAAAGGTGACAATGAAATGTGGCAAGGTGAAATGATCTCAATAAAAGATCAGATTGCCATATCAGAGAGAGCTGATCACTGACAAGCCCAGCAATGAAATTGGCACAAATAGCATAATAATACAAATACAGATACGACTTTCATAACTTCGAGGGCCTATTTGCGTATACCCACATTTCCGTACACTCGTTGGTGCGGTGTTTTTCTTGTACTATGCTGCCACCACTGAATTATGCAGCTCATAGAAGCTTCGCCTAAAAATTCTAGAGTTTTTGGTGTCAAAGGCAAAATAAGATTATGAGGCATACCATAAAAGAGATTAACGTAGATCGCCCCGACTTTTTTACACTGCACCGAAACCCCAGCTCACTGGAATTGCCGTGTACTTCAAAAAGAGCTGTGAATGCCTCATAGCCAGAAAGCAAACCTCCACGCTTGCACCAAGCAGGTCAGCGGGCCACTGAGCTGGCACATCACTGACAAAACAGCATCGTTTCCATATACATGAAATTCTGAATAATGGCTGATATCGAGAATTGAAACAGCCCAAAATGTTAGACCTTCAAGAACAAGAACACATGAAAGAGAATAATTGAGTATAGCTAAGTTACCATAACATCCAAGTGAAGCACCCAAATCCAAGCAAGCAACCTTTCATTTTTCGAAGATTTGAAATATATGCCACTCACCGAGCAAGCTTTCCCCCCCCCTCTCTCTCATCAACTCTGCCCTCCTATATATTTTTTTTTTATTTCAAACTTGCTCTCCATTCCAAACTCTTACAGCAGTTCTTCCTACAACTGAAGTTCTGAGAGTCTTCAAATATGTACACGATTTCTTAGTGCTTTTATAGTATAGTGCCTCAATATTGCATTACAAGTATTCAGAAATTGTTAGAATGTTCGAAGAACTTTTTTCGTTTTCGGTATTACACTTAAATTCGTCCTGAGGTCTCCCTTAAGTTCAGTAAGTACATCAGCACCCCACAAACCTTTCCATTAGAAACGCAGGCATGCGTCCTTCTAAGGGCTCTTCGAACGCCATTTTGAATTTCAGCCCGTGACTGAATAAGGGCCAATTCTCCACATCTTGTACGATTGTCTTTCATTGTATGGGGGGACGCACTTGCTCAGGATTTTATGGTAATTAAACACTAGAACTTTATCTGCCATTTTCGGCAGAGTGGTGTCCGTTCGATCCAGGACAAGTGGAAACGCACAACAGCAGTGGCACAGCCGTACACTATACTCTTGTGCCTTTGAAATCATCATAAGGTACTAGCAGTTTTTCTCCAACAGTGCAGGCGATGCTGCAGTGCATGATCCAATAGAAAAACGCCAATCGACTGTTTTCATGCAGGCACACGCAGGGGCTAACACCAAAGATGAAGTGGTCCAGAGTACATTGCACAGGCTCTTAAGAAATGTGAAAATCATGTGGACTTCTCCGGGTACTCATTCAATTCACCTTTAATTCTGGTCAACTGCGGAGTGACCTGAAGCAGGCAAATACAGTTCGCATGGGGCATTGCCGAGTCTGACAAGGTCTTGGTACAAGTTCACATAAAAGAGAGAGGGCCAAATGCTCGATGAAGCAATCAGTCCTTCATTTCATGCTGGGAAAGCTTATCGATCCACCTAACAACAGCGGAAGCTTTATCACGCTTCATTACCTGCGATGACGCATG